AGGGTGCTCTGCTTTGGAGCCTTACTCCTCCAGCAGGGGACCCGTCAGCCTCCGGCAGTGGGGCTGTCCCCTACGGCCAGGCTGGCCACGGCCGAGGTTGTGGATGTTGGCCTCAGGGCGGGAGGCGTAATTTGGGGGGCCTTGAGGCAGTGGCCCGAGCCTCTTACCCCCCCAGGAGGGTGCGGTGCTGGGTGGACTTGACGCTGCCCGACGCGTGGGCCTGGTAGGGTTTATGGGCCCCTGGCAGCTTTTCTGCTTCCGGCTCGGGCATCCCCTTAATTCCCTCAGGGAAGTGAGTGGGAAACTTGGCTTCCCAGAAGCCGGGCACCAGGAAATGCGTCCTTAGGAAGGGTTTGACAGCATCTGAGAAACCAGCAGCCACCCCCGCCGACCTGGATGACCACACTCTGTGTCCGGCCCACGGTCATGCCTGTGTCCTTCTGCCATACCTGATTCTTACCCTCTCCTTTTTAAGAACAAATGAGTATGCCGTGAATGTCTGGCTGTCTGGTCAAGCTGAGGAGTGGGTAGTTGGGGGGGTCTGAGACAGAAGGATGGAGCCAGGCCTTCTTGCAAGTGACCCTAGAGTCACCCCTACTCCAGCCCCTCGCAGGTTTGAAGTTCCAGCTGGAATGTGGCCCCAGAAATGCCCTCTGTGCAGATGTGTCCCTGGGTGTGGAGTCAGGGTCAGCGCTGAAAAGTCACGGCTCAGGGCTGACTGGGGCACCTCTGCCCGGCTTCTCAGAAGTGCTTCTTGAAGATGCTCCCTTGCCTCTGATTTAGGGCTGCCGTTTGTTGTTTTCTGGGGGGAAGGGCAGCTTGAGAACCAGTTCAATTCGGTCGCTCAGTCGTGTCTTTTCTCTTTGTGACCCCATGGACCGCAGCACACCAGGCCTCCCTGTCCATCACCAACTCCCGGACCTTACTCAAACTCATGTCCATTGAGTCGGTGATGCCATCCAACCATCTCATCCTCTGTCGTCCCCTTCTCCTCCCACCTTCAGTTTTTCCCAATATCAGGGTCTTTTCCAGTGAGTCAGCTCTCCACATCAGGTGGCCAAAGTATTGGAGTTTCAGCTTCACCATTGGTCCTTCAAGTGAACGCCCAGGACTGATATCCTTCAGGATGGACTGGTTGGAGCTCCTTGCAGTCCAAGGGACTCTCAAGAGTCTTCTCCAACACCACAGTTCAAAAGCATCCATTCTTCGGCGCTCAGCTTTCTTTAAGAGTCCAACTCTCACACCCATACATGACTACTGGAAAAACCATAGCCCTGACTTGAGAACCATAGCTCGACAATGTCTGACATCTATTCCTCTGTCCACCCATCCACTCCCCAGGGAACCCACCCACCCACCTGTCCTCCTGGCCACCCATCCATCCTTCCGCCCTTACCCACCTGCTCACTCACCTCACTCTTCTGTCCATCAACCCACCTTGCCACCCCTCTCCCACCCACTTGTTCTGCACCCCCCATACATCCATCTGTCCATCCATCCATCCGTTTGTCTTTTCATTCACCCATTTATCCATCTGTCCATCTGTGTCGCTGTAGTGTCAGGCACTGTGCTAGGCAGAAGTGGACCCAGGCTGAGAGTGCGGTCAAGTTTGCCCCCCCCCGAGGTACAGCCTGGATTGAGTCTTACAGGCTACCAGGACCTGGGTGAATGGGGCAGGCAGGGGGCTGGCGTCAGAGCGAAGAGCACTCAGAGGCTGGAAGTAGTGAGCACGTGGGGGCAGTGGGCAGAGCGGGGTTGAAGGAGGCCAGCGGGTCGGCAAGGCGTCCCCTACCCCGTCCCTCCCAGTCCCACCCCAGGGCTGGCCTCAGCAGCCGGGGTGTGTGGCTCCACATCGTCCCCGGCAGGCTGTCCGCCCCATTCTCTCTGCCCCCCCCACTCCCCCCCCTGGCTGCAGCCTGGCTTTGTTTGGCTGCGGCAGAAATTAATTGGATTTGCAGCCTCATTTTCAAGGGGATTTGTGGCCCCCAACAGGGATGTTGGAACAAAAGCAGGAAGCATTTTGTGGACAGCAGGGTAGTTCTTCTGCCTTTAACATTCTTGTTTCATCTCTGTTGCGTGGGACAGACGAAGGGGATGAAAAGGAGTGTAAACCTGGACACCGACAGAGACGTGGAAAAGAGACTATATAAGAAAATCACTCACACACACGATGGATTTTTTTTTTTGAGACAAAACATTTTGAAATTACTCCTCTATCTTCTTTTAGTGAGCACTAACTTCCTGTTTGTCTGGAAGGAGACAACATGCTGAAATAATCTGAGGCTCCTAGGCCTTAAGGAGGCATCAGAAGTTACTTTTCTTGGGTGGCATTCACTGGCCTGCTGAGAGGATGAGGGTGACCAGAAATAAGGAATAGCAGCTTCCAGGGTTGGGGTCCTACTAAGTGCAGAACAGTCCCCCATCTTACAGCAGCCTTCACTACAACCCCATAAAGGGTTATTTCTTTCAAAAACTTTTTATTTTGTACTGGGGTAGGTATAGCCGACTAACAGTGTTATGACAGTTTCAGGGGAACAGCGAAGGGACTCAGCCAGACACACACATGTAACCATTCTCCCCCAAAGCCCTCTCCCGTCCAGGCTGCCACATAACATTGAGCAGAGTTCCTGTGCAATAAAATAGGTCCTTATTGGTCAACCGTTTTAAATACAGCAGTGCGTACAGGTCCGTAAAGGGGTTACTTCTGCCTCCACATCCCAGGGGAGGAGAACTGAGACTCAGAGAGGGCAAGTAGCTGGTCTAAGGTCACACAGAGACCCGGCGGTGGACCTCGGGTTCAGGTCCCCCTGGGTGTGCCTTACTCCAAAGCCTTTCCTGTCCGAGGGAATCCTGTGGCAGTCCAGTGGTTAGGACTCGACACTTGGACCACAGTGGCGTGAACTAAGGTCCTGCACGCCACGGAGCATGGCCAAGAGCAATATTTTCAGTGAAAAATAAAAAATAAAACAATGCTTTTCCTCTCCTAACCTGCTTGTGTCTCAGCTCACCTGGCAGAACAGGTGGGTTTCATCTGCCTAGGAGCAGAGCCCTGTGTTAAGAGAGACTGTAGGGATAGGATGCATACACAGGATATGCTTCAAGGAGAGGAGTGCAGCAGCTGATTAGTGATGTCTGCCTGGGCATGCGCAGGGTGAGAGGTGATGTGTGCGCTGTGGGTTTGCTGACTCCCTGAGCTGGAAAGTGGAAAGCTTCATGATGCAGAACACAGGTGCATGTTAGAAAATCTACATGGAGCTGGTGGAATAAAGTTACTTTGGTTGTGAGAGCAGCCCCAGCATGGTGGCCTGTCTCAGTGTGTAAGACCCTAACCCGGCCCACTTGGTCTCATCCAGCCTGTGCCCCTGACCCTGGCATTCCCCTGCCCCGGGAAGGGTCCTCACCAGCCACACCCAGGGGTGAGCAGACGAGCTCTTTCTGCCAGAGTGGAGTGTACACAGCTGACAGGGTCTGTGCGAGGCTGTCATGGCAGCAGGGTGTCCTGCTGGTGGGGGTGGGGTGGCGCTCCATCGCTGGGTCTTGCAGTCACATCTCAGCCTGGCCTGGAATTTTCTGTGATCAGTAGGGTGGGGGCTCGAACCGTCGGCCGTCGGGAGTCAGTTAGGAAACCAGAGCTCGGTTCCAGCACCCTGTCAACCACCTGTGATCTGGATTGGCTTCCAGTTCCTCTGTGTCGTGGAGGGATTTCCTGGCTGGGTCAGTGAGGGCCTCAGTCCTGCTGGGGGCACAGGCGTCTGATGGCCTGAGGCTCTCCCCATGACCTGAAGACACACATCTGTCCTCCTTCCTTCTTGTCACATGATGCCCAGTGGGGGATGCTGTTGGCATGGTGATGGGAGGGAGGAGGGGAGCCCATCTACAGAGAGGTCGGGCTGGGCTGTGTCACAAGCTGTTGCCAGGAAGCCGCAGGTGATGGGGACCCCTGGTCTGGCAGGTCTGCCTTGGGACCTCAGACACGGGGCCGTGCAGGTCTGTGATGGAGCTGGCCGGGACCTAGGTCTCCAGCTCACAGCTTGGTGGGCTCCGTGTGGCCCCCACCTCCACCCGTCGCTTCTTCACTTGGATCACGCTGTGCTGTTTGCAGACCTGTCCCATTTTCTCCAGTTTGGGAGCTGGGACCGCCTCCTTTCAGTCTCTGGATGGCGGTAGGGGGTGACAGATCCGGGGTTCACCCACCCTCCCCGAGAGGACGTCCTGCAGGTGGTGTGGTACCTGTGTTCCCTCCCGTGAGCCCGGCCGGGCCCAGGGCTCCGCGTCACCTCCATCTCAGCCCCTGGGCAGCATGGGCTGGCTCCGCCCCCTTCCCGGGAGTCGGGCCCAGGTTCGTTCTGCAGTAGTGACAGGTGTGGCCGAACCCCCGTTTCCCTGTGAACGTCCTTTTCCTCCCCGTGAGTTCTCCTCCCACGGATCCCAAGCTGCCCAGGGGGCCCCCTGTCTGCTGGTGAGGACCCTGCCGTGCCGCCCCCACCACGTTGGGAAGCTTTCTGACGCCCAGCCCCGTCTCCTGCTCCTCCGGGGTGCATCATAGGGTGACAGAGTTTGCAGGGACCCTGGGCATCCCCCAAATACAGACATGGGAGATCTTCACGGAAGAAATAAAGGGTCTGAGCCCAGATAAGTCTTGGTTCTACCCTGACCCCCGCTCCTAAAGACAGGCTCTCATGCTCCACCACGAGGCACCCGGGGGAGCCCGGGTTCCCGTGTCTGAGGCCCCCTGACATGTGAAGGCAGGACCGCGACACGGATGGAAGCTTCCTGCATCCCTGACCTGGTTCCCTCGTTCACCAGCAAGCGCTCCGGGGCCTGGACGGAAGGACCGAGCTCCACGGGGTCTGGGGCCGGGCTGGGCGTGGGGTCCTCCTGCTTGGCATCTCGACTTGGGGGGCCCTGTCTCACATGCTGTGTCACACGCACCGAGTTTCCTTTCATGAGAGCAGATGGAAGGCAGAGACCCGCTCACTCCCCCCTGTCTGTCTCCGCAGGCCCTTCCCCTCGGAGGAGACGGCGGAGAATGATGAGGACGTGTACCGCAGCCTGGAGGAGCTGGCAGAGTAAGGAGCCGGCAGGGGGACGGGAAGGGAGTGGGGGACGGAGGCGGGTTTTCTCGGGGACGGGAGCCCGCCTTGGCCGTCTGCATGGGGCTGGGGGGCGCGCCCCCCCACCCCCGGCAGAGGGTCAGCAGGTCTTCACCCACGTTCCCGTGGTGACATGGCTGTGGCTTCCTCCCCAGGGCCGGGCGCGAGGAAGGCTGGTCTTTCGGTGCTGCCGTCGGGGTGGGGCTGGGCCCGCGCCTCCCTGGGCTGGCGAGGCCGTTCCGGGGAAGGAAGGCGCTTTTGCAGGAGCTGGGCCCCTGGGAGCTCAGGCCACGAGCAGGGGCGGCTGGTGATTCAGGGTTGCCTCCTGGCCCGACGCAGGCTGGGGCTGGACTGAGGCTCCAGGCTGGGGCCTCCTGGAGCTGCTGGGGTGTCCCCGCTTCCCCAAGCCTTGGTCTGGCCTGCCTCTGCCCCCTCCTTGCCCCCTCCGAGGACTGCCTGGGCCGTCACATGCAGCCCACCCCAGTGGTGGTTTCACCCGAGGGATCCGGAGCCCTCCCCAGGGACTGGGTGGGGGTGGGGGTCTTCCGGAAGAGAAGCTTGGCTTCTACGAGGTCGATGGTGGCCTGGTGCGGGCCCGTGTGGCCTGCTCCACGCGGCTGGTGGGGACCAAGGCGGAGAGGTGACGGGCTTGCTCAGGCCATGGCGGGCCCACAGCCCTCAGGCCAGGCGACGACCTGCCGAGGGGGCTTGTCCCCATTTGTCGGCAGATGTCCCTTTGTTCCCTGATAACCGGCCGCTGCTTCTGGGGAGCCTCGCAGCCTCGCTTGCCTGGATCTTACGGCTCAGACTGGGCGAGAGTCGTGATCACAGTGAGAGCGGGATGCCCTGTGCACTTGGTCTGTCGCGACCCCAGTGTGATGCCCCTTGACTCCATCCGGGGCTGGCTGTGCGGATGTGGGGCCCGGGGACCCCAGGGGAGCCCCCTGCCCAGCGCTGAGTGTCAGGCCATTTCTCTGGAGTCACCCTCAAGCCAAAGTTGGCGGTCCATGTCCTCTGGAAACATGCCTCAGGGGTCAGCAGAGGCTGCGGGTTCCAGGAGAGCGGGGCCCACCCTGCCCAGCCTCCTGAGTGCCCGCCAGGCCCCCTGCTCAGCTGCTGCCCCCGGGGGTCCCTGCCAGGTCCCGGGGGTCTGTCCAGGTTTGAGGATTCCTGTGCGGTGTGTTGGGCGCACGCCCGTTTCCTCCTTTCTCCCCCAGTTCCACTGCTGTCTGACCTCTCAGACCAACACACAGGATGGAATTCCTCCCACACGGAGAAGCCGGTGCGGGGGCCGGGTGGCTTTGCGCAGTTCAATAATGTTATTCCGTGACATTAAGAGTGAGCCTCCTTAATCCAATGAGTTCCGTATGGCGCCCGTTATTGTGAACGTAAATCATACGTTATAGGGAAGGGGGATGGATTTGAGTCTTTAACTTGCGGTTTGGTCCCAGAGGCTCCAGGTTAATAAATTTTTCATGCTTTCCCCGCCCCCCTCTCTCCTTTCATTGAAAATCAAGATTTCCTAGCGTCTTGTCTCTGCGGACTTGGGACTCATATTTATCCATTATGGCAATTTACATGACATAAACAGAAATGTCATTTCTTACCTGGCCTCTCCTGGGGGAGGGGGCCGGGCGGCGGCCTGGATCTGATGCCCAGCGGTGACGGGGAGCGAGGGGGTGACGTTTCCAGCAAAACTGGCTCATTCGTTCCTCTGGGCTCTGACCAGGTGTCAGAAAGGTTGACCACCTTGTGTCTCTAAGGGCCCTGCTGCTCTGCCAGACCTCAGACGCTTCACAGCTGTTCAGAGAAAGTCCAGCTCTGGCTCCACGGGCGGCCGTAGCCCGGGGGAAGGTCTGGGGCCCCAGGGAGGGACCGCCAGGTGTGTGTGGGCCCAAGAACACTTCCGTTCTGTCAGCAAGTCCTGTTCGCTCAGCCGCCAGCGGGTTACTGCGCACTGTCAGGAACTATAAAGAGACAGCAATGATACCCCTGCCTGATGGCTGTGGCAGCACTCTCCAGGAGAGATCAAACACGAGCTGCCTGGCGATTGTTAACGTTCTAGTAGCTGTGTCAGAAAGAGAAAAAGAAGCGGGAGGCTCAGTGGTAAAGAATCCGCCTGCCAATGCAGGAGACCTGGGTTCAATCCCTGGGTCAGGAAGATCCCCGGAGGAGGGAATGACAACCCACTCCAGTACTCTTGCCTGGGAAATCCCAGGGACAGGGAGCCTGGCAGGCTACAGTCCATGGCATCTTAGAGTCGGACACAACGGAGCGACTGAGCACACACAAATGACTTTTAAGAGTGTATTTTACTGAACCCAGTGTATCCAAAATATCCGCTAGTTCCACCCGTGATCGCTGATGTAAGAGGTGGTTGATGTGATCCGGTCACCCTGCTGGCCACGTTTGTGAGCTCACAGCCACGTGTGGCTTGGCGGTCCCACGTGGGCAGCCCCAGTCTCGGAGGCACAACAGCACTCTTCGGGCTCTGTGTGAGCAAAGATTATGTTCTCAAGCACTCAGAGCTCACTTCTGAGATCCTTGAAGAGCGTATCATCAAATAATAGAGCAGCTGGCTGAAAAAATTAGCACAAAACATTGCCACTTAAAAGAACGCTCTGTCAAGCAAACGGAGCCTCAGATGAGAGGCCTGTTTTTAAACGGCCCAGACAATTAGTTCCTTGCATTTGCCTGATGGCTCATCCCTCCCGCTACCCCTTGCTTCTTCCCAGGTGCTCCCAGGGGCCTGGAGCTGCCTGCCACACCTTCTCAGAGCTGTCCAGCTCCTGGGCGGGCTTGCAGTTAAGTATCTGCCCTGGAGGAATGCCCCGCCCCCCGCAGGGCTGGGAGCCAGACTTGCACACAGGAGGAAAAAAAAATGTGTACGAGATGGTTGACCACAGGAGCTCAGAGTTGGGCCAGGTGGATGCCAACCTTGAAATCAGGGAAGACTTCTGGGAGGAGGTGACACCTGAGTCTTACAGTCCAAGTGGGAAGTGGCCGAAGGCAGGGCTGGCGTCCCAGTGGAAGAAGCAGCCTTGCTAAGGCCTGGCAGGGTGGGTGGCCCCCGAGAGCGGGAGGTGGGGAACCGCGAGGGAGAGCAAGACAGCATCCGCCGGCCCAGGACCCTGGGCTCCCGTCTCAGAGACGTGGCCTGGCGTTACCCGTGGAGGTGCAGCAGGTTTGAGACGCTGCAAGGTGTTGACAAGAAATCAGAATTATCGAAGCTCCCTGGGGCTCACGGGGAGGACCACCCCTCACACCTGGGAAGGCGCGGCCCCCGTCGGAAGGCCGATAGAGACTCCCAACTGGCTGTGCTTCCACTCTGCAGGCACCCCACGAGGAGGGGGGCCTGGAGGTTGTTCTGGCAGGCTGGCGACGCAGCGTCTTGCAGGCCAAGGGTCCGCCTCGGCCGCTCGCAGCTCTCGTGGCAGCCTCCTGTCTCTCCGGGCACGGTAGCTCCTTCTTGGGGTTCACTTCCTCCCTCCCTGGGTGAGGGCGTCAGCCCAGGTCATCCGTGGAGCCCTCGAGCTGGAAGGAGCCGCGGTTTCCTGATCCAGGAGCCCACTCCCGGCCACCAGGCAGGTTCACTTTCCCCTGGACTGAAGTGATTCTCAGGCTTGAACAAATGTGATCAGACATGGCAGGGAATATAATTTATCCTTAAATGCAGAGCTGTATGTTTTATTGTGTCATAAAATGACTTCACGGCTTTAAATGTGTCATGTTAGCCTTGTTGGGGTGATTTTTTGAAGATGCATAAAATGGAGGAGTTTCTGAGTCGAGGCACCTCGAGGGCTTTGGGCTTGCTCTGGGAGCTGGTCTTCCTCGTCCCTGGGGAGTGAGGCAGTGGCTACCTGCTGGGAGGGCAGAGGCCACGCTCCTCTGGCTGGCCCGTCCCTGCAGGGGACTAGGAACTGTCGCTCTGCCCGACTGTGACCTTCACCAGCGGGCAAGCCAAGGCCCACCCCTCCCAGCGTCCTGGCTGGCCTGCCGCGTGCTCCCAGCTGCAACGAGAATTCCCTTGTGTTCAGGCCACCTCGCGTGAAAGGCCAGCATCAAGCAGGAGACCTGCGTGTGGGGGGACCCCCCCCTCGCGCGAGGCCTGGATGTGCCCCTGGGTTTGGGGGCACCTCATGTTTCTCTGAAATAATTGCTTCTCCGAGGGGACAAATCTGAAAGCAATTCAGTTCAGTTGCTCAGTCTTGTCTGACTCGTGACCCCATGGACCGCAGCACACCAGGCCTCCCTGTTCATCACCAACTCCCAGAGTCCACCCAAACCCATGTCCACTGAGTTAGTGATGCCATCCAACCATCTCATCTCTGTCAATCCCCTTCTCCTCCTGCCCTCAACCTTTCCCAGCATCAGGGTCTTTTCCGATGAGTCAGCTCTTCACATCAGGTGGCCAAAGTATTGGAGTTTCAGCTTCAACATCAGTCCTTCCAATGAACACCCAGGACTGATCTCCTTTAGGATGGACTGGTTGGATCTCCTCGCAGTCCAAGGGACTCTCAAGAGTCTTCTCCAACACCACAGTTCAAAAGCATCAATTCTTTGGCACTCAGCTTTTCTTAATAGTCCAACTCTCACATCCATACATGACCACTGGAAAAACCACAGCCTTGACTAGATGGACCTTTGTTGGCAAAGTAATGTCTCTGCTTTTTAATATGCTATCTAGGTTGGTCATAACTTTCCTTCCAAGTAGTAAGCGTCTTTTAATTTCATGGCTGCAATTACCATCTGCAGTGATTTTGGAGCCCCCAAAAATAAACTCTGACACTGTTTCCCCATCTATTTGCCATGAAGTGTTGGGACCAGATGCCATGATCTTAGTTTTCTGAATGTTGAGCTTTAAACCAACTTGTTCACTCTCCTCTTTCACTTTCATCAAGAGGCTTTTCAGTTCTTCTTCACTCTTTGCCATAAGGGTGGTGTCATCTGCATATCTGAGGTTATTGATATTCCTC